ACCCTCCCTTGGTTCTTTGCATCTGCTGCAGTATTGGGACGGTCACGTGGACAGGCAAGTCGGGCCAGCGATTTGGACAGGTGATAGTGTTATGACACGACGATGTTGCTGTTGTGATTGCTGTTGCTGTTGTTATTGCTGTTCACACACACACACACACACATTCACACAAAACACACACTCTCTCTTTCTCCCTGCGTTCCTCCTACAATGCAACTGCAGGTGTCTGCTGCAAAGCGGTTTGGCGGAGGAAGAAAGACATTTGGTGCTGGTGGTGCTGGTGGTGGTGATGGAACAAGTCCCAGCAGTAGCGGTGATGGTGATGGCCGTGGCCGTGGAGACACCACGGGGTCACGCGGCATTATGGCGCAGATCAAGAAGCGGAAGCAAGGTGGGATGCTAGTGTGTGTGTTGGGGGGGGGGGTGCATGCATGTGTGTGTGTGTGTGTGTGTGTGTGTGTGTGTGTGTGTGTGTGTGTGTGTGTGTACATGTGTGTGTGTGTTGGGACTGCGAGTGAGGACAAATGCACATGCACATCTTGAAAACATGCTTCACTCACGCACTTGCTTCTACACTGGCCCACATATATACTGTACACACGCAGATGTGAGTGCTGCGCACGCGTCCGAGTTTGCTGTTCCGCTGCTAAAGGAGATTCGACAGTTTATCAAAGAGAAAGGTGCTGCTGCCATGATGTGCACGTCCTCGTTGTCGTGACGTGACGAAGGCTTGCTTTGTTGCTGTACGATCTGCACGTTTGGCATTGAGCCACGACACTCACGCACTCGCACACGTCAAGTGCGCGAACACACACACACACACACACACACATACACACACACACTCTCTCTCTCTCTGCCTCTCTCATTCTCTACAACCACACACACACACTACAACCACACACTCTCTCATACACACACATGCACACACATGAATCAGGTGGGCGTGCGTCGACACAGGCGTTGCTGGACCACTTCAACAAGCGCGTTGCCGGGAGCAGACAGGCCGTCTTTGTTCGCCTGCTGCACAGCACGTGCACCTTCTCCCGTGTTGGCTCAAAGGGCTACTGGAGCATTAAGCCAGAGTAGAACACAATGCGTTGTGTGTGTGTGTGTGTGTGTGTGTGTGTGTGTGTGTGTGTGTGTGTGTGTGTGTGTGTGTGTGTGTGTGTGTGTGTGCATTTGGAGTGGTGTTGTCTTTCCGCTCCTTCGTCGTCATTGTTTTCGCTGACTCAGCAACACGCATTTTTCGACCCAGTCCTATCAGGCGATTATTTGTTGGTATCATAAATGATATTCTTACCTTTGTCGTTGTCGCACAACAACAACAACACACAACAACCAAGAGGCGATCACTTTTGCGCAAACACAACAACACCCACCCCTCCCCCATATCGCTTTGGCTTGAAGAAGGACCCTCCTCATCCCCCAAGCAAGCAAGTTGGTGTTGATGCATGGACTGCTGATGAACCCGCTGTGTGTGGTTGTGTGTCACTGCGCGTTGTTTTACTCTCCTTCCTCCTGTGTCGGAGATTGCTGCATCGTGGGCTGCGCCTCACTCACATCATGTCATGTCAAAACTCATGAATACGCACTCAATGCAGCTCACCCTTGCCGTGCTGCTTTGTTTCTCTGTCTTAAGGTCACGATCAGCAAGAGACCACCACCACCATCATGTCTGAAAAGAAGTTTGACTTTCGCCGTGGCGGCGCCATGCGCAAGAAGAAGATCCATGAGGTGATGGATCACAAGTTCCAGGCCAAGTTCTTCAAGCAGCCCACCTTCTGCTGCCACTGCTCCGAGTTTATGTGGGGTTTTGGCAAGCAAGGCTACCAGTGCATCGGTTCGTTTGTTTGTTTGTTTTGTTGTGTTTTGTTTGTTGCGCTGTGTGTGTGTGTGTGTGTGTGTGTGTGTGTGTGTGTGTGTGTGTGTGTGTGTGTGTAAAGCGGTGTATGTTGCGCGCACATGTGGTGTATGTTTGGTGTGTAAATGTTGTTTTTGAATGCACTTCAAATGCGCTGACGTGCATGCATTTGTGATCCCTGCTGTGGCTCCTGTTCCGGGCATGCTAACTCTGCACGCCACACCACGCCACACCACACCACACGATAGATTGCGGCTTTGTGGTGCACAAGCGCTGCCACGAGTTTGTGCACTTTCACTGCCCAGGCACAGACCTGGAGAAGCCAACGGATGTGAGTGCCACTGTCTGTGTACGTGTGTGTGTGTGTGTACGTGTGTGTGTGTGTGTCTGTGTGTGTCTGTGTGTGTCTGTTTGTGTATGTCTTGTACTTGCGTCGATGCGTGTTGCGACTGCTCCCCGTCCTCGTTGCACCGACTTGCATCTTTCAACCTTCCTTCCTTCCCTCCCTCCACTCCACTGCACACTTGCCCACTGACACCTTCCCCCTCCCTCCACTCCATTGCACGATGTGAACTTTTTTTTTTTTCGTTGAATCAGGCACCGACCAAGGAGCACGAGTGGTCGTCGCACACGTACATGTCGCCCACCTTCTGCGACCACTGCGGCTCTCTGCTGTACGGCCTCTACCACCAGGGCAAGCAGTGCAAGAGTGAGTTATTCCAGACTCACGTGAGACAGGGACTGCTGCGCAAGGCGCTGCGATGGAAGGAGGAGTGCCGGGCAGTTGTGAATAGTGGAGAGAAGGTGGTGGCGTGTAGAGGGCAACAGGTACGCTCATATGTGGTGTTGAATATGAAAGACGTTGATCACACTGCTTGGTCGCGCATTGCTGTTTGTCAATCTGACATTTTTGCTTGTGCCTCGTGCATCACCCCTTCCCTCCCCTTTTCGACACGCAAGGCTGCAAGCTGAATGTGCACAAGTCGTGCACGAGCAAAGTTGCGCACATGTGCGGATTCGATCACCGTGAGAAGCGCGGCCGCGTCCAACTCAAGATCGGCATTGCAAAGGTAATCGTCATGTGTGTGTGTGTGTGTGTGTGTGTGTGTGTGTGTGTGTGTGTGTGTCTGCCTGGCTTGCTTTGCTTGCTTTGCTTGCTTTGCTTGCTTTGCTTGCTTTGCTTGCTTTGCTTGCTTTGCTTGCTTTGCTTGCTTTGCTTGCTTTGCTTGCTTTGCTTGTTTTGGTTGCTTTGCTTGCTTGTGTCGTGCACATGTGAGGACACATGCATTCACCACGCCCATTTCTCCCGCCACCAACACCTCAAACCCTCCCCCCCTCCCCCCCCCCGAATATTCCTCCACCACAACCAATCGGTGCGGTGCAGAACTCTGACGGGAGCCGGCTCGTGACATGCCACGTCGGGCAGGCACACAACCTCATCCCCATGGACCCGAGCGGCTCCAGCGACCCCTACTGCAAGGTGCGGCGCCTGGTGTGATGTGAGCGTTAGGTTGGATGTCGTGTGCGATGGTGATGAGTGAAGGCGAAGGTGGCGTGGAAGAGAACACATGGATGTACTTGACCTGGACCAAGCTCATTCATTCAACTATTACCCCGTGCTCACTGTCAACCTCACACGACACAACATGACACAACATGCCTCCACAACCACCACCACCACCACCACCATCGTGTGCAGGCCAAGATTCTGCCTGACAAGAAGGAGAAGCAGAAGACCCGCGTGCACTCGACCAACCTCAATCCAAACTTCAACCACGCCTTTGAGTTGTAAGCTGCAAGGGTTGGTGGCGGCATGCAGTGTGTGTGTTTTGTCCGAACGCTACGTCTTGCTGAATTCTGCCTGCCTGCTCGTGACTACGGTTTCATCACCACTCATTCACTCACTCATCACCACCATCACTCACTCACTCGCCACTCACTCGCCACTCACCACCACCGCCGCCGTGTGTTCAGCATTGTGCCGCCGGGCGCCGACCTCGAGCAGAAGTCGCTGTTCCTGGAGGTCTGGGACAAGGACCGCATCGGCAGCAACGACTTTATGGGCTGCATGACCTTCCGCCTCTCCGACATTGAGGAGGCCGCAGGGTGCGTTGATGCCCGTGTTGGGATTGGAGCTGCTGATGCTTTGCGCTGTTGTGGTTGACTTGGGGTTGCTTGCCTAGGCTCTGTGTGTGTATGTGTGTTTGTGTGTGTGTGTTTGTTTGAGTTTGTGTGTTTGTGTGTGTGTTTGTGTGCGTGTGTGTGTGTATTTATGCTGTTGATCGCATGTGTGATCGTCTCACCCATCACCATCACCTCCATTCCATCACCCGTCACGGTCACCGTCGCCAGCACGGACAAGTACACGGGGTGGTTCAAGTGGCTTGACAAGAAGCAGGGTGCAAAGTTCCACATGAAGGTCCCCGAGGCAGCGTCTGCCCTCAAGGTCGCACTCGCACTTGCGCGGAGAGGAGGGGATGGCGTGGACGTTGGTGGAGATCCAGGAACATGTGATATACGTGTCTTTGTGTGTTCGTGTCTGTGTCTGTGTGTGTGTGTGTCTGCGTGTTTCAGCCTTGAGTGCTGCTGCATTTCTCCTTCTGCACCACCCTATTACATCGCATGGCATCGCCCCGTCTCATGTCCGGTTTCGCTGCGTGGATGTGTGCACAGGTTGAGGACATCACGAAGAAGTTTCAGTCGGCCGATCTGGAGGACTCAAAGAGCGACGTGCGTGCAGGCAACGCATCCGCATGCACATGGCACACCAGGAACTGTTTGTACTTTTTGTGCCTCTTGCGTTGTCACTGTGCCCTCATGACATGTCTCTGTTGCGGGTGAACACGTGTGATTGCGTGTATGACGACAGGAGCTGAGTGCGAGCGTGGCTGCGAGCCTGGACGCCTACTCCTTCCAGAAGGTGAGCAGCCATCACGTGCACTTTTTTCGCATGACAGCACTTGACCACCCACCCACACGTACATTGGCACGCACATGCACACGCACCCACACGCACGCACCCACATTCACACACACACACATTTACTCGCACTCACACACACACACGCTCACACACACACACCATCACCATCACCATCACCATCACGGCGCAGGTCCTCGGTCGCGGCTCGTTCGGAAAGGTGCTCCTGGCGAAGGACAAATCGTCCGGCAAAACCGTCGCCGTCAAGTGTCTGAAGAAGGACGTGGTCGTGGAGGTGCGCACACCTCTCCAGCGCATGACGGGTTCATGTGCATGTGTGTGTGTGTGTATGTGTGTATGTGTGTGTTACATGCTTGTGTTACATGCTTGCCCACATCAAACCCAGCACACCTTCCCAACACCTTCTCACATGTAGTCGACAACACGTGTGTGTGTGTGTGTGTGTGTGTGTGTGTGTGTGTGTGTGTGTGTGTGTGTGTGTGTGTGTGTGTGTGTGTGTGTGTGTGCACGGCAGTACTAATTAAGGGGAGTGCACGTGAATTGATCGGCGCGCCCTCACGGAATGAAAGGTTTGCCGCTTTCTCTTCACCTCTAGGCCGTCTTTCAGGGCACAATAGTATACATGGAGTGATTATGTTGATGTATTGAGATGTCAGCGAGCGCATATGTTTATCTGTGTCA